CTATGCAGGCAGGCGCAGGCAGGCCGGCAGCAGGCAGGAGGAGCCGTGCCAGGCAGGGTGCCTGGGCAATGCCCTTCCGTCTCACTGCCGGTAACCCTCCTGCTGCCGGCCTGGGTGCGCCGGTGTCCTGGTAGGCTGGCCACAGGCTCTGCCCCAGCACCGCCGCTTGTTCCCCTCCCAGTTGTGCCGTGGTGCCAAGCACCAGCCCAGAGTCACGGGTGGCAAGGGGGATGGGGACAGCGAGGGGACGGGATCGGGTGGCAGGGAAGCCGCTGGCACCGGTATGGCAGGGGTTACTCTGCCATAAGACTTTGCCCAGGTGCCACAGCAGGACTTTGGGCTGGGTGGCCCCCACAGGGTTGGGCACGGCGTCCCCGATCCCACCATCCCATGGTGGGATCGGGGACGCCGTGCCCAACCCTGCACAATGGGCACCTTCCTTTGCTGTGCCAGCACTATGCCTCAGTCTCCCTCCACCCTGCTGGGATCTTTCCACCTGACACCACTCCCGGCACACATGGTGAGGTGGCTGGGTGGCGTCACTGTCACCCCAGCCCCAGAACCCTGCAGGGACCTCGCCGGCAGCAGCTCCGCCTGGAGAAACCATCAGGCGTCAGAAGGGCCGGGCTTCAATCCCGGAAAAAATGGTGTGAGAGGGATGCGCCACGTCGCCCGCTGGCCACCCATTCCCGCCCTGCCGGGTGTTCCTGGCAAGCGCCAAAGCCACTGGGTGCTGGCATGGTGACATTTCCCAGCTGGAACGGGCATCACCACCAGCAGCCTGCCCTCATCCCCACGCTTGCTGCCAGCCCCACGGAGGGTGGCATGGCCGGGTGCCGGTGGCCTGGCTCCCTGCCAGCGCGGGGGTGTCACTGCCGGCGGCGCGAGCAGGTGCCGGCACCTTCCCTCTTTGATCCCTTCCCTGCCGCCGGCGGATCCGCGCCTGGGCATCGCTGCCTCGGCCAAATCTCCTCTGGCAGTTCCGGCTCCGGCGAGCATCGGTAGCTCTGCTGGCAGCGCCCAAGCCCCCAGCGGTGTTTGTGGTAGGAAATGGCTCCTCTCCACCTCCGCAGGGCTCCCGGGGGTGACGCGGCAGCAGGCAGCGGCCAACAGCTCCCGCACCTCCGTGCCATTAGATGGGTGACCAGGACCAGCGGCTGCTGGACAGCCCGCACAGAGGGATGGGTATCCACTAGCCATCAGGATGGGGACAAATCCTGCACCCCAAGCGGGAGCAGTATCTTGCTGGAGAGCCCTGGCAACGCTGCGGGGACCTGTGGGGTGACCCAGAGCGAGGCAGCTGCAGGGCGCCCCCCCCCGTCTCCCTAGGGGCTGGGGAGCATCCCTCCACCCTGGCGGAGCCAAAACCCCAGGGAAACAAGGTGAACTGCATCGTACCAACCGGTGCCGTAGATGTCCCCATGCCACCTGGGCTTGGCACTGCCCTGCTCCCCAGCCAAGAGACGTGCAGTGGGGTGGTCTTTGCCAGCACTCCCGGTGACACTGCCGCCTTGCCGGGGGAGAGGAGGGAGCAGCGGCATCCTCACCCCAGCCTGCACCCATGGCCCAGGCATGGGGATACTCTCCTCGAGCTGGTACCCCCTGAGACTCACCACCCCAAAAATCCCTCAGTGTTTTGTGACAACACAAAAGAGGTGGCTTTAGGACTCCTTTGGGAATCCTTCCGGCACAGGGCCCCTCACTGGCTGCCTGTGTGACTCCTTCATCCCTGGCTAGCCTGGCTCCCCGTCCCAAGCTCCACTCCCCACTGCAGCCTGTGGCTTTCTGGGGGAGTGAGGTGAGCCCTGCTGTGCCATGAACACTGCGGGGATCTCTCCCATTGCCACTTCGATGGGTATACCAGTGTTTCCTCACTGGCACACCTGGCTCGGCTGTGCATCAGGGCAGGGAAGGGGTTCTGTGTCACCGTGGCACATGGTGTTGGGCCACGGGTTGGTATCAGGCCTTGGGTGGCCACCATGTCCCTGGTGCAAGGGGAGGGTGTGCGAGGCAGGGGATGGAGCCCATGGGGTCCCAAGCGTGCTGGTGCAAGGGCTTGGCTGATGGTGAGCAAACACGCCTGATCCAGCTGCATCCTCATAGCATGGCATGGTGGCGATGTCCCAGGGGGACACCAGCTCAGGGCTCGCACCCCATCTATGGATACACCCCCCCGACCCTACATCCACTCCCCCATCATAGCACGCTGGTGCGAGACTCCCACAGCAGGGACCCACGTGGCCCCAGCGCATTCCTGCCAGGATTAGGTACCGGCTCCCGGCAGCGCCATGCCAGTGTAGCCCAGCTAATCCCTTTTTAATTGTCCCCACCCTGCACTGGGCTGAGCCAGGCTGCCCAGGGGACGTGGGGTGCTGGTGCACCCCGGTGCCTGAGCACGTCTGGGGTGCCATCACCGTGTGTCACTGCTGTGGGACCAAGCCGTGGGGTGCATGGTGAACCTTTGGGGTGGTGATGAAGAAGGAGGCATCATCCATCCTCCCAGTGCAGCACAATGGCTTTTTGGGAAAGGGAGGGATCCTGGGCTTCTAGGATCCCATCCTGCTGCCCCGAGGTGACTGTCCACCCTCGGCTTCGTGAATGCCAGCAGCCAGGCTCCAGGGCAGGCAGAGGGACTGCGTCCCATGCACTGACAACCACTGAGCTTCAAGCTCCTCAAAACCATCCCCAGTTTTGGGGCAGGAGCCTCAGTGGAGCCACGGCACGAGACATGGCACACAGGCTCTCTGCCACCGGCCCGGCCCTCTCCCTGTCCCAGCGGGAGGGCAGGAGAGATGCTGGCTGAGCCCCCTTGCCTGCTGCTCTGCCCCAGCCCCTCCAGCCCTGCCCTGTGCCACACCAACCGGCAGCATCCAGCTCCTCCAGGCTTTAAAAATAGGCTGGTGGCCCTGCCACAGGGTCG